AGAAAATCGGGAAAAAGAGGTAAAACTCCTGGGTTGAGATAAGAACAGTTTAATAGAACAGAAAAGAAGAAACTCATAATGATAACACTAATAAAATGACAACAGCAATAATGAAAGGATTGGAATGTACAAATGATGCGCAGGGCAATTGCTCACCACCCGCCGACTGACACCCAGTTAGTCCCCGAGCGGCGATTCCCTGCTCCCACTTCCCAGTTCCTATACTAGATGTGACATCACATGGTATGGAATACACTGTTGGCCAGTTTGGGTCAGCTGCCCTGGCTGTGTCCTGTGCCAACTTCTTGTGCCCCTCCAGCTTTCTCGCTGGCTGGGCATGAGAAGCTGAAAAATCCTTGACTTTAGTCTAAACACTACTTAGCAACAACTGAAAACATCAGTGTTCTCAAGGTTCTTTGCATACTGAACTCAAAACATAGCACTGTACCAGCTACTAGGAAGACAGTTAACTACATCCCAGCTGAAACCAGGACAGGGGAAGAGGAGCTATGCAGCATGCCGGACACCAGACCAGCGGAACAAATAACTGGTCTATAGTCTAGACCCGTGCCAGACTATGGGTCTGACTTCAGGAGTTTCACTAAAATGTGTCAAAAAGCGGTTCGCCATGCAAAAGTCAGCAGTTGACTTGGGTACTTAATAAAAAATAAATCAACCGTAAAGCATACAATCATACACCTGCTGGCTGTGCCAGATGCTCTCTGCTTCTGCACTGGAGGGAGGAGAAAACAACAGATCCCTATTGATTTCTCCATGCTACCCATGAGTCTTGTTTTCACAAAGTGCTTCTCCCATACAGAATGTTTTTAATTGGATCGAGTCCTTGAATGCTTAAACCAAAAAGATATCATAACACTTCCAGCATAGCTAGCAGAGAGAGAGATATAATGGGTGAAATACTGACTCTATTGGCAAAGCAAAACTTCAGCCAAGTCCAGATTTTCCTTGAGGTTTTTTTTTGTTGTTGCTGTTTACTTCAGGAAAATTCAGCCTTGCATATAATTTCTGTTTTTTTTTTTAACTCAGATTTCAACTTAGTTAACTTACTACATTCTTTATTTAAACTCCTAACACCAACATTGCTAAATACTTGTCTTTTTTTTTTTTTTTAGCAAGTGTATTCAACAAAATAAAATAAAATAATATTTCATCCAATATATCCAACAGCCAGAGAAAAACCTTATTGTCAGGTAAAAGGAATAGCCTGAGAGATTAATATAACTTTAGCTGTGAGATAAATTTTAGATTGGAAGGCTAAATTTGTCTGGGCCTTAATCCGTTGTAACATGCAGCAGTAGGTTGCAATGTCTCTTAGAGCAAGGGCTGAGTTAAGCTAATGTTTAGTGCACTCTCCTTCCTATAAAGCACTCTCCAGGTTAATGACATGCATCACTTTTGCTTATATCAGAGAATGAGATGGTGGCCTCTATGCAGTCAAGAAGAAAAGGAAAAAAATTGTCTTTTTGGAGGTAAAGATGGGGGAGAAATTACCTTGCAGTCACTGTGACTGCAGGGCACAAGCTTGCACTACTGGACAAGAGGAAAGGAGCGGGAGGTCAGGATATCAGACCTCCAGACTGTGAAATACATTGAGAGACAAAGCACAAGAGTGATGGTGGCACAACAATTTATGTATGCAGCAACAAATATGTTGTGATTTAACCTCCATGTCTAATGATGCTATGACCAAGCAGAAACAATGGCATGAGAACTCCAGTTCTATGCTCCTGAGTTGCTAGTGGAAATAGTAGAATACCAAAGCAGCTAGAGGTAACAGAACCCAATGAAAGCTCAGCTTTCAGATCATTTTCAATATTTATAGACTGGATAAGAAATGCTCATTCCTCACCCGACCTTTTTTTGATGGATAACAAGCCCAGAAGCTTCTTTAAGATGCTTTAATTTCTATCACATGCAAAAGGCATTAAATTCCATATTGCTCTTAAAATCTTACCCTGTCTTCTCACAGCCATTTCTATCTCCATTAATATCCACTGCTCGCTATTGGGTTTGTCTTTACTGAAAACTCCCAGTGATTATTTTCATTCAAAAATAAATCCAGCTGGATAATCTTTTGAGTGTAACCAAATATATGGATCTTTCTGCAGTAAAAGGTCCTAGTACTGTCAAAAACCCCTTCACTACTTTACCCAGATAGACAACATATTTTTAAATGCCTATGAAGTTTTTCTGATGAAATGGTGCCTGAAAACATATCTGAGCTAAAGATGAAAATGTCTAGGTATTGCTCAAATTTTGTAAAATTAAAGAAATAAATACATATGAATATTTGCATCAAAAATATTTATTTCAAAAACCCAGAAATTTTTGAATGAATTTTTTTCCCATCAAAATAACCAAATCTTTAAACTGATCTTTAGCTTGATGACCATATTCTCTGGCAAGAATTTGTTAACACTTTCTACCTATCCTTAGAATTTCAAAACCTGGATAAGCTCTGATCATATCACTTGTGTCTAAGATAGGCTATTTACTCAACAAAAATCTGGTCAGAGAAAAACCCAGAATCATTTGTCAATGCATGTCTCATCTTTTATTTATATTCTCTACGCAAAAAGTACTGTTAAGTTGAAGTTATGGCTAAAAGAAATTCCTAGGAATGTTGGAATATTTTAATTTTGGGGATCTAAGTGAAAACAAGAAAAGAGAACAAAGAGAACAAAAGGGAAATTTTTCTCTTACCAAAGAGAAAATTAAGGGCAGAACCTCCATTTCTAACATGTCCCAGGAGACCTGCAGGAGTCAAAAACTACCAATGACCTTTAGTGGTGTTCTCACCTTAGATTAACAAACACAATTTATCCCACTGGCATTAAAGGTAGCAGCAAAAAGAAGATAATTTGAGTTGACAGTAGTATTCAGCCTACATTAGAAAGATGCTACTTATGGTTTTTCCATGAGCATCGCCACCCCCACCCCTCCATTCCCCCCCATTCATCTCACAGGGATCTGGGCAATGCACCTGACAAGGCATGAGAATTTTACTGGTCTTCCACAGTGACCCGTGAACTTTTATGTTTGAAAAGTATCCATACTCCCCTTTTATACTGACAGAGTTTTCTTAGATAGCCATTTACTTTCTACTTTCTTGCTGTCTCTTCAAGGAAAGGATAAAAATACATTTTCTGAAATGAAAGTATAGATTTGCAAAATTTTGACATAATTGATGTTTTTCAACAGCGGGTTGAGGCAAAATTTTATGGCACAATTAAATGGTTACTGATAATTACTTTGCAGCTAGATTCCTATACTAGTTTTTAACTTTTTGACTTTTTATTTACTTATATTAAAAGAAAAAATTAGAAAACTTTTCGAATTCCATTCTCCTATTTCTCTGTTTCAATTCAGCAGTTGTTTGTTCCATCATTTCAAATGATATAGAAAAATGGTATCTTGTTCCACACAGTTTAAGAATACTACATCTTCTGTGGCTGAAGAGCAAAAATAGCCTTCTAATGGCAAAGGAATTGCAATAGCTGTGAAATCAAACCCTGCTGTACTTTCCACAATTATTTGGGTTTTCTTTCTTTAGAAGAGACAAAGTAAAATAATTTCTTGAAATAGCAATGACATTAGTAGCTACACTCAAAAATTAAGCTTATACATAGGACTATAAGAATTCCTATGATTTTATTTGATGTTTAAACATTCTTTCCATTTGGGTGTTTCTCCTTATTCTTTTTTAATAGAAAAAGAATATTCTCCTTTTTCTCTTTAATGGAAAATGAAAACTTTAATATACAAATAAATGCGATTTTTTTCTCTCACCTTACACCAGTGTAAACTAGTACTAAGAATGTCAAGTAAAACAGATGTTTGGGAAGGCTAAAGCATGAAATGATTAAGCATTTCATAAAACTATAGCTGTCATGATAGATAGTACATTGCATGACATCAGGTCAAAGTAAAACCTAGGAAAAATATTTACATAACTTGATCAAATAACACCGTGTGTATGAATAACTGCCTTTTCAGAAACATTTCAACCTGTGAGAATGTCTTCTATGTGAAATGCTTTTTACTGCAAAAAAAGCCCTCCCTCCTATCTTACCTTTCCTTTTGAAAAATCTTAACGAAAATGCAAGAATAGTGCCACAGGGCGATTGTGGCTCAGGTTCTTATAGATTAACTCTTTCTAACCAATAGGCCACGTTACCCTAGTAGACTAAGTCTCCAGTAATGCACCATCTTCATTCTTTAGGAGGAATAACTACAATGCATGGTAGGAAGCCCCAGGCCAGGGAGCTTATTCCATAAATAGAAAATGGGTGAGTACTTGATCTACTGGTCCCATGAGATATCACCTCCATAATATCCAGAGAGAAACATTTTATTTTAATTGTTGAAAAGGCAGTGTTTTCTTAGCATATCAATCTGTGAATTGGTTGTATCATTAGTATTAAATGGCAGCTGAGAGAGAAATTGTGAAATCAAGCAAGATAACCAATGTTTTCTATTTTAAAAGATCCTTGGAGATCTTTGAGAGCAACACTTGCAGACATTACGGACTAAAATGAGCTACCAAAGTTAAAATGTCCTGTCCTTCAGGGGTGCTGACACTTGTTATTCCTATTGGCCTGAGTAGGAATTTGAGCTTATAGCACCTTTGAGCATCACGTAAGTTTTATTTAAGTAGTTACTTTTTAGGCACTCGAGTCTGAAGAAAAAAGATAATTGGCTGTTTAGTGTAATCCTATAAAAACATGTGTGACTTGCAGCACTTTGGGTTCACATCTTAGAAGCATGTCTATGCTTAGAAAAGTAGCTCGGAATCTCCTCAAATGAATCTGAAGTGAAAGTTCCATAATGAACATAGAATTTACTCCAAGTGAATTAGCAGAAAAAGAAGTGCAAATTAATTCCAGAATATCACTAGTGCATAAGTAAGCATTCCTTATAAATAAATGTCATTCATTTATAGAAACAGAATATAAATAAATGATGTTTGAGACTTCTTTCAAATACTTACAGTTCTTTATATGATACATTTTAGAACATTCCACAGCATCTAAAATATATAAAAATAAATATCTACACTATTTACAAAGTATAATACAATCCAATCTTTAAAAAGACTTGTAAAGACATGTTCTTTAGCTCATGCTGAGGTAAGTAGGTTTCTGTAAGACTGAGAAGAAAAAGGAGAGGCAGTCATTTCGACGGAATCCCTTTGTCCAGTTGTTGCAGGCTGTAACATGCTAAAAGCACGTGCCATTCCCTGGTGGTCTTACATGTATTGAGCCAAAGTCATCCTTGCTGTAACTCCATCGAGGTAAGTTTAGTTATGCTAGGGACGAATTTGTCCCACTCTGCATTCTCTCTGTTGCCAGTGTCTTCTGCAGAAACCCTCACAGCTTCATCTAAATTTGAAGTCATGTTCATCCCTGGTATGTGGAGATGCAGTTCCACTGATTTCAATGGGCTGAGTGTAGCTGGGATACCTGTAAGAAAAAATAAAGATTTTTAAGATGATTTTACTGTTTGTATCAAGTAGCTGGCAGGCTTCCCTGGGATTGTCACTGTGCAGGTGATGATCTATTAACAAAATGGTCTGCCAGAAAATGCTCCAAATTGCACTTGCAAATTTTAAGTGAAGACTTCTTGATTGAAGTCTAAGGGGATTTCTGATGTATAAACATTGATTTTCTTACTTTTAAACATTTTTAGTGTGTACTACTACTTATATAATATGCATTATTTGGTAAATGGCTTTGTGGTTCCCTACCCAGATGCCACTGTGAACAGCAGAGCACTACAGCTTCCTGTGTACAAGTCAATCATACAATAGTTCGGGTTGGAAGAGACCTTTAAGGATCATCTAGTCCAAGCCCCCTGCCATGAGCACAGGACAGGCAGGGAGAAGAGAATGATGACAAGTAATAGATATAGAGTAAAACATAATGTACAACCACACTGTCACCTGGGTTTCATGGTTACAACCTTGCTTGTGCCATACATACAGGAATGGCAACACTACTGGAAAAGAGCAAGCTGAATTCAGGAAAAAACCCCACACTCCTCCTACAGTAAGTGAAAAGAACAGACTTCTTCAGAGGTAATTTATTTAATTCTTTTTAGATATATATTTCAGGAACAGATTAGCTGTCCTTGGAGATACCAACTTTTCTGTTATCAATATATAGCTTATATAGCCCTAGACTATAGTGTCTGAGATAACTTCTAGAAAACCAATGTTCACATCCCTAGAAGAGGAGGGATGAATCCTGTACTTGCAGTGCCTTGCAAAGTCCTGCTGGGATATAACATATAATGTAATGAGAAATATCAAATAATAGATTATATGCCATCTTCCATCTATTCACAAAGCTGGGGAACTGCACAATCATTTCAATGTTTACCCAGAATTAGGAAAGCTTGAACAACTTCTGCCTTTCATTTCAGACTGCGTTCATTTGTTTATCTGTACTGAAGAAAAATCAAGAGTGGCTTCCCAGTTGTTCCTGAATATATACAATAACCCAGCCAACAGGAAAAACAGCAGAAAATGTGAGACAAGAAATTAATGTCAATTTCTTATTTGATCAGCCCAACTCACACCAGAATGCACGGTAAGCAGATCATTTGAAAGAGTCAAGGACATTCAGGTAGTTCAATCTGTACACCCAGTTTTGGTTACAATATTTGTTATAAAATATACCACAACTTCAGAGAATTAGCTCTGAGTAGAATATAGCTGTTTATAAACACATTGCAGCTCCAAGGAAAATGATCTTCGTACTTTCAGGTACCTGTTCTTTATTTACTTAGGAGTCTAAAGAAGTAGGGATCCAAAGAAAATATTTATATAAAATATGATTACTTTACTCCCTCCCCAACTGCAACTCAACTTTTGAAACAAATGAGATGAAATTGTTTCAATATATAACCAAAGTTGTAGCATATTCTATAAAATATTTCTTGTAAGTAACTTTTCTTACAATCAGTTCTTAATTGTAAGCACCCATCTCTCATTGCATTGTGCTCAGATTCAAATCTTGTATGCACAATTAAATTTTACTTCCACAGCATCAAAAGACACAGGGACAAGTATACTACCAGTGGGTAATAGGTGCAGTACCATTTGCTGGAATTGTGTTTATGTTGGTCAATACAACGTGTTCTGAAAGTTTTGAAACGTTATCAAAATTGCTGATCTGGGTAGTCAAGGATTTCCGACTTTCTGTACTGGCATGACCTCTGGTGAGCCGTTCATCATGGTGACTGCGAATGCCAAAGATGCAACAAGAAAATGCTGCTTTAAATTCTTCTCTGAATTTCCCTGTCAAACACAAAAAAAGATTAATGAAAAAATTGTACATAAACCATGTTTCATCATACTTTATAGACTAGAAAAAAAGCAGCTATCTAAAGCAAAATTAACCCAAACCTCCCAGATGTTCTTCTAATGCAGAAGTAGGAAATCACAATTTCAACATCTTGGAGAAAGACAGGAAAAATATAACCTTTGTAAGAAGATATGTAAGGTGTGGTAAGGAGCCTAAATTATTCTTGGCTAGACAGAATGGAAAAACTAGAATGATTTATGAAATCATGTCATGGATAGTTTGTCGATTAATAACATATCTAACAAAAACAAGTAACTGAGCAATCATAGGCTTAAATGACTGAATCAGTACCTGACATATGAAATAAGAGGTCATGGCTAATTTGTATTTCATCTTGAATACATTTTAAAAGAAGATTCAAAGTGTTTGAAAGCCCATTAGCCTGCTTTTGGGGCTCAGAGTAAATTGTTCAGATCATCCTCACACCACACAACACAGAAAACTGCAAATGTGCAGTAAGGATCGACAGACTTTTGCCTCCCTGTATTTAGCCGTAACATCACCAGTTTAGGTCCTGATTCTGCTGTCCATAGCCAAATAAGACAAATACAAACTAAGGCAAATCTATACTAGTAAGTAAATTGCCTCCTGGCTGGTTCTTTGGCCTTGAACCTAGTTGGCACAGTCTGGTCATGCAAGTACTATTAAAGACTCACAGCCTCCAAAACCCAATCGCTGCGTATAAAACGTTAACTGGGGACAGCCCCTGGCCTGCGCTACCTCCCAGACAGCATCTGGGGAGTGTTTAGGGGAATGATAATTGCTTCAGACCAAAGTCATGCCAGGGACTTCTCTACCAGAATAATGGCATGGACAGTCAAATTCAAGCACTTGGACTCAGGCCCTGGCATTGTTTAGTTTAGTTATAGGTAGATAGCCTAAGGTAATGGGATATGTCAGGCAACTTTTCCAAGAAGAGGATCTAGCTCCCACCGGAGGAGCTGGGCTGATGTTACACGGTCATTAATCTTACTTGCTATGGCTCATTACATTCAAACTATACATTAAACTTGAATTCTAGGTGACTGTAACTTACCACTGAGGAAGTTATAAATAATAGGATTGGCTGCACTGTTTGCATATACAAGCCAGTGTGAGAATGTGAACCAGGCATATACAGTTTCTCTGTCATCAGCATGATTAAACATCCCAAAAACCCTACAGAAAAAGAAAATCAAACCTGAAAGATGGCAAAATTAGAAATCATATAAAAGATTTGGCAACTTCTAGCTTAATTTTATCTCTGATGACCTATTTGCAGTATCACAGAAAAGCTGATTCAACAGTGCTCGCTTTCTTGGGAGAATGAAGTCCCCTCCCCATCCCTCAGCCTCCCGTCTTGGTGGTTTAGGGGCTCTGGAACTGAAAAGGCACTGAACTGGCCTCAAAACCGAGGCCACAGTAGTAACTTCTGTCCTCCACAGAAATCTGCTTTGCCCAGATTCCTTACACCTAACTTTTTCCATTTAAGTGAAAAATCTAACTATGGGCCTACTCTGCTATTGTAGTCGAGGCAGGCTGTATAGCTCCTCTGTGATTCAGATCATAGGTGGCCTGAACTCTCTTCTGGAAATACTTCTTTCTCTCCACATTGCCTACCAAGGGACTTGAGGATGAAAAGTACTTAAATTAGGCCTCAGGGAAGTGCCAGAATTGAGTGGGATGTATTTAAGCCTTCATATCCAACTTGAAACTATTCCTTAAAAACTAAAATGTTCGTCAAGCACCAATAACAGGCTGGTTATTTTTCAGGATATTAAAATCTTCTGCTATATGTCATTATTTATCGAATTTCCAGAGGGCTTATGAGATATAACTAAACCAAAGCCTTAGCCTGTCAGGCACTGAGTGTACACAATTATGTCTCAAATGAACAGGAGAGAAAAGGGTAAAAAAGTAAAGCATAGCTTCATAGGCAAACCGAAGGGTTAGCTTAAGGTCTCAAAATTGTACGTGACGGGGCTTGGGTTTGAACCCAGTGTTTCCCAGTCCTCGAGGCCAAGCCACAACACTACACTCTCCTGCTAACCTTCAGCTGGTGCTTTTGGTAAATGCACTTCTACAGCAAACAAGCTGTAATCCCATGTAAATGACAGGTTTTAATGAGGAGATAGGCTAGATCATTTTCATGAGGAAGAGCTTGCTAATAAGCAAGTTCCACAGTCTGGCCTTTAGTTTAAGTACTACAGATAGGTTAGATATATTTTTTTCTTGCAACTGCATGCTTATTTTCCATTTCTTTATTGTGAAACAAATAAGCTTATCCTTCAAAAGTATCTGCCAGAATAACAGGAATCTTGTAACAGAAGATTGTTTTTAGACAGAAAGCTTTACCAAGTGTTTACATTTTGGGATAAACTTTACCTTTTCAAGACATTGAGGATGCTAATTGGCAGATAGCAAAGTGCAAAAACCAGGAGGACAACCATTAGCATACGTGCTGTTTTCCTTCTTGCACGAATCTGTTTTATTTCAGCTGCCACAGCGCTAATCTTTGACTTTGTTGACTGTCCCAGCCCTCGGGGCTGTGCTGAGGACTGCAGAGGCTTCCATTTTTTCTGAACAACAGAAGAAGTTCCTGGGATCTAAGAAAGACAAAATAAGGGGCACTTTGAAAACCTAGCACTGTGGGTAGCTATAACAAGAAAAATAGACATGTTGACATACACAATGTAAGCTTGCAGGGAGAAGTAGGGGTTTTTTTATTAAATTAATTGATGTAGCTGCAAGAAGCAAACCCAATTTCAGACACACTTGAAGAACAGCATAAAAATTTGTGGTTTATCCAAATATATCAACTGATGTATTAAAATTTTCTTTCCACATACTTCGTCTTGCTTATGTCTTCAGACTCTCACACTTACCAATCCTGTTTTTGAAATTATGTTGCTATAAAGTTCTACGTTAAATGTTTTGTTGCATGACAGAGTAGTTTATCCTATTAATATGCTGCTAATTTAAGATACTAAACAGCTTCTCTGCACTGGAAAACAAGGATTTAAAGCCTACATAGTTTTAAGTGCCATAAAACTTCCAAATATGGAATCTAGACTACAGTGAAGCAGCTAAAGAAATCACAGCTGAAGTGTGGATCTGCCTGCAAAGCTCTTCAAAAGTGAATGCATATACAGTGATGAATAGAGGAGAATCATGGAAGAGTGCCAAGACATAGGAAGAATTAGGTTAGCCAAAGACAGCTTGCAATGGCTAGATGTAGCACCATGCTTTTAAAAAAAAAACCACCTCATTTTTTTTGTTTTCTGTGCCCTCACACAAACCAAGCTGAATAAAGCAATTTTGCTTCAGTTCTTCAAAATTATTTCCTGCCTGCAGCCAAATGTGAAAGACTACAGATGGCAAGGACTTTCTTAGAGAACTCTATTACAATGACATTTATAATGTTTTCAATGTTGTACATTTTAGGGTAGAAAAACAGTTTTATTCATGCGTAGTGCTATTGTCTGTGGGGTGACTTCATAATTGATATTTAAATGTATCTGCAAAATTCAAATTGTCTATGATAACATTTTAAAAATTAGGGCTTACCCACACAAACTGACTGGAAAATAATGAAATTTTGGATATTTAATTCAGAAAAAAAGTAAGCTAAAAAGGGAATCCTTGTTCTAAAATAAAAACATGCACATTCAGAATTGTTCCAGAATAGCTATTATGTTGGTTTGGTTTTTTTTTTTTTGTGAATAGCTTCCTTGCACAGAGAAACCCTTAATTTAGCATTTATGTGCACCCTCAAACCTAATTCCAACTATTGGAATGTTTTGGCAAAGTTATGTTCTAATTATCAGGAAATCAATGAAGCAGAATGGGGGATACATTATAACACTGATTTCTTACTAATGTGTCTATGGACATAAAACAAAAAAAAAAATCCCTTGCACTCACTTCTACTGCAGGTTCCCACTCATTCAGCTGAAATCAGCAGTATCAGTTCATACCTGGACATGTCTGTGCTATTGCAAGGGATTTACCCTACTTAGCTGTGGGTGTAGTACTGCAATGTGTCTTTGCCATGTATTACTGAGATAATATACTGTCTGAGACTCTGATGCTGGCTTATCGGGGGTGCTTTGATATTCTCTTCTTCTAACTTTGAAGCAGAAGTTTTTCCTTCCTTTTCAGTCATACTGAGTTACCACATTGTAGCAAGAACTGGAGATGGAAGCAGAGAAATTTGGCCAAATCTCTCCCTCCTGATTATGCCAAAGATTCACTTGAAGAAATCAGTGAGCAGCTTTCATGGTAGCTAGATGCAAAGTAGATGAAGAGAAACATTATCTTGGCTCAAAATTCTGGATGGCTATTTCTACAGAAATGTTAGCCATGACTGTTTACATGGTTTGTACACATGGGTGCAGGTAGAAGGGTCTTTTCTGGTATTTAATCAGTCTTTAATAGCAAGCAGTGATCAAAGGCAGGATTGTATACAATGTACAGTCTCAATGTACTACATATTAAATTGTTAAATCTTCGGGAGTTTGTATTGAGAACCTTTCTAAAGAGCCTTATTTTCCTCAGTCTTTACCGGGCATACACCTGGGCTTTGCTACTATTACACCAATAGGCAATAATACAGCAAGAATTTTACCAAGGAAAAAAAAAAAAAAGAGCTATATGCCCACAGATGCATAGCTGAACCAGTACCATCTAAGGACCATAACACTTCAGAAGTGTGTGTGTGTGTGTGTGTACAGAAACATTTACAAAGATCCATTTATGTAAACACATATCCGTGTATTACAAGTGATAGGACAAGAGGAAATGGCCTCAAGTTGCGCCAGGGGAGGTTTAGGTTGGATATTAGGAAAAATTTCTCCGCCGAAAGGGTTGTCAAGCATTGGAACAGGCTGCCCAGGGAAGTGGTTGAGTCACCATCCCTGGAGATATTTAAAAGATGTGTAGACATGGCACTTAGGGACATGGTTTAGTGGTGGACTTGGTAGTGTAATGGTTGGACTTGATGATCTTAAGGGTCTTTTCCAACCTGAATGATTCTATGATTATGTATGTACAAGTATACACATGCCAGCATATACTTGCTTTTCAGTAATGAATCAGTTATAAAGATAATGGTGGATAATTTGTGTAATTCCAATGATGCACTAAAAACGCACTAGCTGTGTCCAAACAGGTACTAAAAGTTGCAATTGTTTTCTTATGCACCTTTCCTCTATCCCCTCAAATTATTATCAAGGGCTTTATAACCAGAGGAAATCTCTCCAAATGCAATAACAGCTTGCAAAGATTGGAAGGTGCCAAATTTCAGCTGCCAAAATGAAAATGGGTAGGGTTTCTAATTATTAATGTGAGTAGGCTTTAGTGTCAATGCATTTGGACATCAGTAAGTGGAAGCATACAGTATGGAACTTGATAATACAAATTATGTATCAACACTTTCATCGTAAGTCCATTCAGTCCTATTTATTTGTTCAGAAGTTACTTTCCATCTACCTAAAATCTGCAAGAAAACGTAGCCTTCTAAGTCACTACTTCCTTGCTAATAATTAAAATAAATTACTCAAAATCCCTGGTATTTGTGGCATAATAGTTCTTGTCTTTACAAAGACGAGTCATGAATTCAAAGATTGTAAAGCTTATATTCAAAGATCTGCTTGAAAGACACAATCAGTAATTTTAAGATCTATTGCACAAAATATGGTAAGGATAGCTTGTAAATCTATCTTACCTTTAGTCATCTGAAAATTTACATGCACAACACACTCCATTTTAACAAAGAACCTTTAGAAAAAGTGTAAGGCATAGAAAGCATCTACTGTTTGCTGTGTTGTTTCTATCACGTACGTCTGGAAGGCTTATTGTACCTTGCAATAGGATCACTATATTTAACTAAAGTTCTGGTAAACAGCATGATTTCTTAATTGAAACTATTAGCAAATAATACATTTAAAGCACTGCATTCATTTGCTTTACATGACTAATTATGGCACACCTGTTGCACTTAGAAAAATGCCTGATGTCTGCAGCCAAGTCACAGTTGATAATAGACGTGCAGTGGTTTTAATCTCACTTAGTGCAGCCTCTTATACATAGTGCTATCATCTATGCTAGGAAAAGAGACATCTGTAATTTTGCATCATTGACAGCACTAAGCCTGTAGCAGTATTTGTCTTGTTGCCACTAAAAAAAAAGGATCACCCTAACCTTGTCAGCGTGCAAGATGTATAGGGAAAAGAAATACTGTGAAGAAGAAATAGGGCAGCTAATACAGTTGCAGGGGAAAAAAACCAACAAAACAGGTTGGTTTCCAGTCATTTAACTTCAGCTTTGAAGCTGAACCAGCATTTTCAACCTACGTGCAGGTTAAGAACAATTGCTTTGCGTTAACTTAATTAGTGGACAGTTTGAGAGAATAGGTAAGTTGTAAAGAAAGTACAGAAGAGAAGGTTAAGAAGGAATATGGTGACAAGGTAATTGGGTGCTACAGGATGGATAACTATTTAGCAGTGCAGAACATCTGAGCAAAGCCTTTGTTCTGGTGAAGAGCCCGCTCAAACTGTAAAGCTTAAATTTTACCTTCAAACTAGCTATTTAATCTTATAAATGTAAGAAATTAAAAGCAAAAATAAAAATTTAAAGATAAATGGCAAGATAAACAGCAACTCTGGTTTAACCCAATCTGATTAGAAGTGAGAATAATTGCTATTATGATGTATGGATGATAACAAAATGCCTTAAAGCAGATTTGTTTTTTCCTATATTTTAGTTATTTGCAAGAGATACGATTTGTCAGTGTAAGATTTGATTTTTACTTTTAACATATGTATATTTAGAAATCTAAAGTCTACTTGTGAATTCTCTGATGGATCAATTAGAACTGCATGAAAAATGCTCAGATATTACTCCCTGGCCAGGACAGCCTCAAATTTGGATGGTATCAAACATAATGGTGAGAGAGAAATGATTCATGCCCATATCTTGATGGAAACGTCAGCCATTGTTAGAGCCATTTGAGAGGATAGAAGAGGGAATATCTTGCATCATGTCTTCAACAGGATGAGTTTATTGTCCTTTACAGAATGACAGGGCAGGAGGTGGCAGAGGACTACAGCTATAGATAAATCCCGGACAAAGCAGAAGACAGCAGAGAAAACCATAAACTGATGCATGACAGATTACAGTTCACACCCAGAAAATGATTCTCAAGCTGACACCACCTTGAATTGTTGGAGGGGGAAAAACGTTCCTGAAAAAATTCACATCATTTTTGCTACTTTGATTCGAATGTTCTTTGTGTGCTTCCTTGCTTGGGTTTTTTGTTTTATATTTCTGTTTTCTTTCCTGTTTTTTTAATGTGAAGCTTGAAAAAAACAGATGTTCACATTAGAAATCATGCCAATTATTTGTCAATAATTCACATCAAATGTTAACTGATAACGGCCAGCTTCACATCAGGCGATTCCAGTCTCACAGTTCTGATAGCTGGACTTCCTCGTCTAACTTCTGTTCAGATTGGACCTGCTATGAACCTGAGACTTTGTAGAATGAAAACTAAAAATGAAAAATTATGCAGACTACTAACAAAATGAGAGGGTCAATTTTAACTTTTGGCTGCTACAGAAGATTTTAGCGGTATAAATAAGATCACCTAAGGTATTTTGGTAAGAATTTAGATAAAATAGGAGAGATCTTTCTTCTGCCTATAATCAATCTTTCTGTTGCCTTTTTCTCTCTTTCTCTCTCTCTAAGCCCTTCCTAGACATGAGCAAGAAGGGGTTTACATTCAGCCTGACTGCCTTCATTTTTTAATGCATCTCAGTGCCTATCCAAGGTGGCTGTCAGCCGACAGTGTCACTGAACACGGTAACAGTGCTGGATGTAAAAATCCAAGTCCTGAGTGACAACATGGAGCATATAGAGAAGGTTGTACATAGGAATCTGCACATAGTCACAACAGCAAGCAAAGAGAGCTAGTGTTAAGTGACTTACCTGGCGACACCACAGCTTTCGAAATATTTGCAAATAGGCCAACACCATAAGACACAGTGGTGCCATGTATGTCACCAGAAAAAAGCATGTGTGATACATTTTGGGGTAAACCTCAGCTGGAAAGAGAATTCAAATAGGAAAAGTGCATTTAAATATACATACATTTCAAAATCACTTTAAGCCAAATTATTCATATCGTCATGCATGTGTTTTTCAAACATAATAGGTTATAATGGAAGATGTATCCAATAATATTATGGTCAGGATTGATTTTTTAATCATTTCTATATACATTCTGTTTCTATTATAAACATGCTTTTATCTCAAGCATCTCTTATATCACATTACTGCTTTCATATCACATTATTACTTTAGGTATGAAGTCTTAAGAAGTTTTATTTTTTATTAAATCAGTGAAAGACAGAAAATTTCATTACCTAACAATAGCTAACTAATTATCCAACCTGCCTCATCTTTGACATATTTAACAGATTGTGTAACTGTCTTTAGTTTTAATTCTGCAAAGGTTACTATGTATCCTTGAGTAAATTGCACAGTCTCTCACTTATAAACAGAGAATGTAGACTACAGCACACAGGATGCTGATGGGAGGAGAGACAGACGTTTCCTAAATCACTTTTTGGTGGCGGAATAAATGTGATTAAGACTCAGTGATTTCTTATTACGATTACACTTCTAAAAATAGAATTAATTCAGTCAAACTTAGGCAATTTCCAAGATTATTTTTGGCTCAGCTTTAACAATAATGAGTTTGCTACATTTGTGTTATAGTTGCCTGTGCATCTTTTTTCAAAAGACAATGTATGAATGTTAATTGCTTAGAGACAAACATCTTACAAGTGTTGCGAGTGTATTGTGTTTTAAGAATATTGTATCATAAGCTTCATCATTAGATTATAGCAGAATGTGCAGTGGGTGCCTGGAAAACTTGCTTTTACTTTTGTAACTTCAAATATAGTCTGGGATTACCAAATGTTGATATTAATTACAACTTAACATTTATGGATGGCCTCAGAAAAGGAATGAACATTATGGAGAGTGACAATACGTAGCAGAAGAGAAAGAGTGCACTCCATGAACAGTTAGATTGCACGGTAATCCTAACCATTGCATTTTGGCTAGAGTAAACAAGGAATGTTTATGTTAATTTCCAGAACTTCCAAATGTTTCAGGATGAGAAGAACTGTGACTGAAACTCTGTATTGATAGTAGTTAAAAAAAAAAAAAAGAAAGGAAAAAAGAGTTGCATGAGATCAAAAGATTGGTGAGTCCAACTTATTTTCTGCCTCTTAAAGTGACTGTGGACCCTATCAAACAAGAGGTTCCTCTGCATGCCAGGAGAATCCCTGAGAGTTTGATTAGACCAGGAGATAGAAAGACTTGGCCCAAAACCCTCGCAGCAGGGAGGAGTACACACGCCATCATGGTAACTCCAGGCTCACCCTCAACCCCAGACTCCAGCAATATCACACTCAGTGTTGGGCCTGAAAGTGCCAGCTGGTTCACCAGTCCGATAAACTTCAGTACCAGGGAAATAGCAACTTGCTATAGCAAAATCCAGCCCATGTTCATCGCTAGAAAAAGTAATAGAGATGTTCCCATTGACATTTGACAGATGTTGCCATTGACATTTGGTGGATCAGGGTGCAAAAAATTCAGATGAGCAGCATCTGGCTCCTTACTTGCTCTAAGATCCTGTAGCAAATCAGTTTACCACCTCTTAACTAGCAGCTGCAGCTACTAGCTCTTGTCAATGAACCTGGGGGAGGCAGACAATTTGGGGCAGGTTTTTTATAATCGGTGATAATCTGGGTTCGTACATTGACGGATGATCTCAAACTTGTTTTTGCGCTCCAGAAAATGCAGCCTCACAGCAGTCCTGTCAGACAGGGAAATACCGACACACGCGCTCCACAGGTGGAGAGATGAAGGAGAAACTGGAGTAATGTGACGTACTGGGATCACGGGAGGTCAGAGCTGAAAGTACATTCTTTCTGCTCAGAAGGAGGTGCCACCTGCCTCATCAACGCTCTGCAGGCAGCCAGGCCCCTTTCAGGTGGAAGGACGGGACATATTTAAAAGGCCATCTGGAGTTTATGGCTTCCAATTTAGCATTCCAAGTAAAGTGAAACATTAAATGAGCCTAGCTATCTACAAAGAACTGATGGACCAGGTTGGAGGAAGATCCTAACGCTTGCCTTTGAAGTTTAGCCACCTGGAAAGTGCCAGCTGCTAAACATCAAAGGAAACCTGTCCCTCCTCCACCCAGGGCAAAGCCCTTTGTAGAACTTTTCCCTAAGAAGCATGACCCTGTTTAGCTTCTCAAGCCGAAGAAAAGCTTTAAAGCTGTTTGACAATCACAGCAAGCAAGAAGGAGGAAGGGCTGGTTTGGGATACTGTTCATTTATCAAGTGAGTGAGTTCCAGGCTCCTTGAATGAGAACATCAATCAGTCTGTGGTGCTGGTGATTCATCAGCTGCCTGACTGGGGCTGCTGAACCTCTTACTACCAAATAGAAGAGGGGAAAAGGGTCCTTGCCTTCCACGGTCACTTAATGGGCTTTAGGACAGGGGGAGATCGTTCTTAGCTGGAATAACCACCTCTTTAAGAAGAAATTAATGATTCTCCCATCACTGGCCACTATCTTACTGAGAAGAGAGAAGGGGACAAAAAGCAAACGGGTGGTCACGGAGATGGGACTGGGGCGAGATCAGCATTCCTACTCAGAACCAGTCATACAGCACAATTACCCCACCCGATAAAGGATCAGTATGCCAAAACAAGCCACCTTCTGTCTGCTGCAGGGTTATTAAACAAATGTTAAACTTTTCTAAAGCTTCCTTCTCAGCACTGTGTTCCAGTCCCAGACTGTTGCTCAATGAAGCAAGGAGGTAGAAGATTGAAACTACAGCTCCTGGATTTTTGCCAGAATTTTACTATAGTTGTGTAAATACATATATACATACACAGATGTATGCAAACTGAAAACAACCCAGACTCAAAAGGTTTTGCTATGTCTAGCAAATGAAATATTCCCTTAAGCCATAGGTGCATAATGAAATTGGTACTCTCGACAGCTTACCTAAGAATAGGGAAAAACAACAAGACTATCAAGTTTCCTGAGCACCAGCAGAGAGTTCCCAGGTTCCCTAGCCTCAGGAAGATACCTGTGAAATTTTGGAGTTATCAATATGAAGAGGCAATGCAGCGAAAAGAGTACACTTTTAGAATAAAGCTTAACAAATAGGGATGTTAGGAAGTGGGTGCTCATAGTAGAGAAAATTCAACCACATAACACAGTCCTTTCCAAACTATGTTCCTGTGTCAGCATACTTACAGTTAGCTAATACTAAAATTACATTTTCAAACCTGATATATTATGTTTGAGTTATCAATTCACGACAACACCAAGCTTAACTTTAGTGTTAGCAATGTTCTGACTTCTTTCTGCATTAAAATGTCCCACAAGTTTTTCCTTAAATTCTGAACACTTTGATAAACAGGATGTATAAACCTTCATGCAACAATGCAATTTCCAGCTATTTGCTTTCCAGAATTAAGACAATATGTTTTTGTACTATTTTATGAGTAGTCTGAAAGGAAATGGAACACAAAGTCTTCCCTTTGTTTCCATTCATCCCTGTAGTTCTGGGAAAGGATTATCTCCATATTCTTTCTATCATTTGCAAAGGGGTTGGCTAATGCACTTTGGCTAACGCTCGTTTCACGAACAGCTCTAAGAGAATGTATTTAGCTGACTTGGACACATGGTGAACTCATTTTAATATAAGTTGCATCAAATTCAGCACATAGCAATTACAGGCTATTATAGAACTGTGGCCAACACTGGCTCCTTAAGTGAGCCTGCACAGGTCACATGTTGGATCCTTCTGCATTCCCAAATAAAATATTGTTATTAGACAGTACTCAAAATGAAAAACCCTCAGCCTAGAATTGGCAATGAATTTTATATTCAGGAATGCCAGAAGCAATTAAAAAGAAATTGAGCCCTGTTTTAGGCTGAACTGTTGCTTCATTTGTAGTCGCTGGCAGCTCTCCAACAACATGCTTGGAATCTTATTAGTCAGGGTGGCCACTATTTCTTCACTGTTAAGGAGCCCAAAGGCCCAAGGTGCTGATCAGACCTTCCTTCCAGACACTCATCAGACTTGTATGGATTTCAGCAGCTGGACCTAAGTCTGCGTAGGGTACAGTGCTGTCTCCTGCTTTGGCATCTCTGACATTTCCCTGGACATGCCTTCCTGGTAGTCCTCCACAGCACCTTGTGTTTCAGTGGCCCTCAGTTCCCAGAATTAGGACAGACTTCCAAAACACTTTGGAAAGTGTCATTAAGCACCCTGTTTTTGCAGTCCCACCCTTGACAATTCACAGCTTAATATCCTGGGGACATACGGTGTACATGATGCTCTGCAAAGATTTCATCAGACGTACCCTAATTTCAGACACCATAAATTATATGTGGTTCTAAACAAAGCAGTAAACACCCAAATATAATCCCTTTCCTCTAAATTGACTCTCCTATCGGATTTGCTTAGGTGTCTTGAGTGTGTGCAGTTTCTACATCTCCACTTTCTCTTTGCAAATATAGCTTATTCATAAGAGCATGAATTTATTTCTCCTTCAGCCTCCTCCTAGTTAGCTTGCTTTGACTGTCAGTATTCCCATAGTCAAAAAAAGGCAAAACAAAATCCAACAAAAATGCAACCATTTTCTTTGAAAATACTAGCTCTTGATTCCTTCTGGCCTCGAGGCTCACCAGTCTTTTCAAACTGCTGCCCTGTTATCCATGTTCTTTTTTTCTTCTGTTTGGGGGGGGTTGTAATTTCAGACCCTGGTTTTCAGCAGAAAAACTGTATTTCTAAGCTTTGGCTCAACTCAGCGTCCTTAGACATTTTCAGTTGAATGGAAATTATTTTTAGCTAATGACACCTTATTCTCTAGGCTGAAAGGGATGTTAAGGTATACACATATTATATTTTATCCTCATCGATAATACATGGTTAACTCTACATTTACTAAGTAATTCCACAATTTGAGCAACCTACTTGTAACTTAATGCATAGAAAGGTTCTTCTCTGAAATTACTGCGATAAACTATTATCAGAAAGTGAAGAGGATTATTTTTTATGGATAGCTGAAATGGACCAGCAGAATAACTAGCAATGATGGTGCATTATCTTTAGAAGAATAATTCATTAAAAAGGCAGCAGGATTGTTATCTTTCAGTGGAATGAAAAGCTTCCCATTTCAGAAAACTTTAACACATTTTTAATGTAAAATTATTTTCATTTCAGGCTCAGTATAAATTAAAAAAACCAAACAAACAAAATAATTTTGGAGTATTTGCACTTCATTTCTGAAGCCACAGGCAAAAAGAACTTAATTCTATGCACAGCTACTTGCCTTTGTTATACCCCTTTCTGCCTCTCCAAACATCCAAGTGAAGGCTTACAGCATAACCCGAAGGTCAATAGGTTTCATTTGGGACAAATGTACTCCATCGGAGTAGAGTCTTGCAAACACATGGAAGTTGTTTTTCTTTTGTATAATGGTGCTTCAGCTCAGGTGTGTCTGTGGGCTGCAACTGCTCCAGCGCAGCCCTGAATGACAGGCAATCTTTAAATTATTCCAGTGGGGCTACTACGGACTCTGCAGTTCAAAAGCAACGCTCTCCTGTGGGGAATCAAAAAGTGGCCGATGCAGATCTGGAAATTTTGAGAATGCGTTCACTGATGAAATGCTCTTCTGACTCCCAAATTAATTAACTACCTCATTTTCATTTCCTAGGCTGATTAAAAGAATCTTTGCTGCAGATCTCACCTCGAAGCGGTGAAGGCACGGATAATTAGCTCTGCAGCCACAATGAGCAGACACAAATTGTACTTGGAGTGAATGCTGTGAAAGAAAATAGTCACACAGCATCCAGCAGCGGACTGGGATACAAAATTGTTCACAGATGAAGAACGAACACTAGAAGAGCAGATGTGTCCTCTCCAATGAGACAGCAAGTACAATACTCATAGTTTAACAGAGGCTTTCTCTAACCTACAGACTTTCAGCACATCTTTGTCTGCCACGAGTGCCAGCTAGCTAATGGTCTTGTCCCGGAGGACTAACTGGGATGAAGGAGACAAAGAACGGGGAATGCGATAGCCAGTGTCTTCTCATTAATGCCCTGGTGGCCCTGCGGAGACCGTTAGCAGGGGAAGAACTTCCAAACCAGCACATAGACAAGCCCTCAGCAGTTCAAGCTGCTTAAGCTAATTTATCATGATAATTAAGTACAGGTGATCCAGTTGTATTTTATCTTAATTGCTCACAGCACTGGAATCCTCTTCTACAGAGACAGCTCTGGGAGGGAGTTGGAGTGTGTTTTAGTCCGACCTGAGGCTATTAAACAGGTACCTTTTAGTTATATGTTTTGGCAAGCCTGGCTTTATTTTCCTGTGTGTGAATAATGATATTACTGATGGTCATTATATCCAGTGTCAGAGTCACAGCGTGTAACTCCTATGCTCTATTAGCATTGGAGTCACGCCAAGGCCCACCAGAGTTGAGTTTTAACCATTCGGGTGGGCGGCTAACACCACTTGCTGTGAACGGAGTCAAAATAGAAGTAGTTATTCCCTGGCAACCCTTATGCAGCTTCTTACAGCTGAATTCAAGTACAGAACAAGTTAGATTCAAAGTTAATCTGGAAAGGCAGAATTACACTTCTTGGATAGAATCATTTGTAACTGATTACAATTACAAAGTTATTTAAATGATCTTGTCCGTGATAAATTTCAGGTTGCAGGCTAATTTGGTACCCTGTATTGATGACACCTCTATAAATTCTGTAATGACATGCAATTTACATTGAAGTCCCAGGAGACAGCTATAAAGACTAGTCAAATATCAGTAATTAGCCAAAGCAGTATATCAGGTAAACAGAAACTCTGTTCTTGTGTAGTTATTTCTTAAGGCTAAATACTGAAGTCTTTGTAAACCTGCAATGTCCATCGATCACAGAATTATATAAGCATAGGCATTTAAGGGTGGGAACACTTCTACCCTCTGGGAAGCATTAACACGGTCAAGACATAAGCCAGCCTCATTCATATAAGCTTGGTTTCAAATGTACCTTAAGTCTTACCAATACAAAAGAAAATAAGATTTCACAGTATTTGAAAAAGGGTAGTTCTAGGAAAGCTTCTATAATTAAGAACATTTTGTGATAAGTTTATACAACTTGACTGCATATGAAGATGTCCTGATATTTTTATTACATAACATCAGTACAAATTCAGTCTTTATGGTCAATGACACACTCACCTCCCCAGTGCTCATCACACACTGTGAACAAGGTGGTTTTATTGGCTAATCCTGGGAACACACTGCTGCACTCCATAACAATAGCCTGAGGAATCATTATGATGCAGGACACAATCCAGATAATTATAATGCTGTTCCTTGCTCGCTTGGCTGTGCTTTTAAACATCAAAGGGTGACAAATTGCATACCATCGATCCAAAGCAATGCAGCTAAGTGTTAGTACAGACACAGAGACTGAAACTGTCTAAAGAAAAGGAAACATTATGTAAATGTAAATGTAATTTTTTCAGAGCTTTAAAAATTATTTATTGTAAGTTTTTTTCCAGAGTTTTAAAAATTTTTTTCTGTTTTCAACACAGTTAGCTCTTTATCTGCAATTATTAAATAGAAATTATTCCCAGGAAAAGACTGCCTTTTAAATCACTTCTTACAGAATTACAATAGATATCCTCATCTGCTGTAGTCCCACTAGATTCAACAGGAAAATTCACAGATTAGGGTGCTACCCAAACTGAGTAGGTACAGCAGGGTCAGATTCTGAAAGAGTAAATGTATGCAACTTAGAATTTGCAAAATTTTATCTAAAAAATTACTTTGAAAACATTAGACAACAAATTAGATCTTTTTTTCTTTGTGGAACGATTTTGTTTGTTTGTTCATTTTCTATGTTATGTTTGGATACCATTTTGCCTTTTCAGTTTTCACAGGAACAATGGAAATTCAGGGTCTCATAAAAAAACCCAAACAATCAGCTTAAGGCAGACGAAGTCATTTTACCTTCTATTCAGCACAGGAGATAACCTATCACTTTGGTTTTATTCTTTCACTCTGTACAACAGGTCATCATTTCACTTTCTCTTTGGATTTTCTTCCACTAGAACGGTGGCTTTGAAACAAGTTTTGTGATTTTGATTCTTTTGAGTAGATGACACAATGTGGCTCTTCAGCCATATGGGTATCTGCTCAAAATATAAATTGTGCCGAGGCACAGAGCTGATCACCTGCATACAGTCAGAGTTCTGCTTAATTCTTTGGATTTATAATAACTGAAAGGCCAGAAACTTGTCATTCTAGTATGCCCAGCCAGTTAATCTAACCAGCTATTCTTAGAAAAGGTATTTGTCAATAATTTTGATGCAAATGATCTCATAACTAATTAACTCCACCAGTAAATGAGTGGTGGCAATTATTGCTTAAGGCAGACAATCTGAACAGCTCCCAGTGAACCTGGATACTTTGACTATTTCTAAAGAATGCAACGTAAGCCATGAAACACATGTGAAAGCCCAGATTCCCTTCAGAAGTTTGGATTCTATGTCCCGGACACTTGTATAGCTGTTTAGGTCCACACACATGGAGTATAAATTACTGTAATTCTATTTACAGACATTTTTATTTTTTTATATCCCTTCTGAATTATTAAAAAAGATCGCAAAAAGTGGAGAGCACCAGACAAATGTTCCAGAAAGCGTATTCTCCAAGTCTAACAATCAGATGGACCAAGAACAATATTTATTAAGCATAAACATAGTCACAAGTGGAACAGGAACAGCCCTTTAATCCTCGGCATGTACCCTGAGATACCTACTTCAGTAGCAGGGATAGACTTCCATCAGATTATCACTATTAGGAAGATGCTATTGTTCTTTCTCTTTTTTCATAACATGGGTCATGTGTACACAAACACAGTAAAATAATACCTGTAAGTAGGGAATCACTTTGCAGAGAGGCTGCCCAAAGAACCACGTTTCTGTGATGTCCACTACTAAAGTTGCTGGAAGACAAGTAATTGTAACCAGAATGTCAGCCAGAGAAAGATTCACTATGAAATAGTTGGTAACTGTCCGCATGTGATGGTTCTTCCACACTGCAATGCAAACTGAATTTGGAAAGACAAGTTAGTGAGATGGAAGTGACTTAGGGAATGCTTCAACAGGAAAACACTTAGCTTTGGAGAGTTAAGGAAATGTTTGTGTCCTTTTTTAACACAGAATATTTGAATATGTAGTTCAGTGTAAGAACCTTGTATTTTCTTTTAGAGTGGGAACAAGAGGGTACGTGTAGAGAGAATCTTAGTACGCAAAGAATAGTTTTCCACAGACCACAGCATGGGAAATAATCTGATATATAAAGCAGCTTATTTTCCTGCTAGTTTATCTTCACTAACTATTCACACAACTTTCTTCATGTCTATTTTAATCCACTGGCTCTAGTCTATGGCAATACACATCTCCATTTGTAAAAGTTTATCTTTTTCTTATGATAGCATGATGCTTAATTCAAATTGCTACCACACAGAATCTTGTAAACTGTACCAAGACAACAATCACTTTATAAAATATTTTGCTGGGCATAATACATCTATTGCATCTGCAGAGAATCTGTAACAGTTGTCTGGGTAACTGTGATTTGAGGTAAATAAATAAAGATAATTTTTTGCAGTGTTAAGTGCTACCCATTTTAAATGTGGGTATTTAAATATTTAAATATTTTTGATGATGATTACTGTGATTGAAAGCAGCATGTAGCAGACACTTGACAATATGTGCCTTTAAAGCTTGTTTTATATCTTTTCTTTTCCCTCTTTCAATTTGAAAGGCTTTTAGAAATGAGGGAAATCAGTCCTTTAACATGGTTGCACTAAATTCATAAGCTAATACATTAAGACTGCCAAAACTAAGTCTGAGAAACTGGCCTAAAAATAAGATTTTTAATAACTTTGGAAGTAAAACCCTAAGAGATTGTAGCAATCAATAGCTTTTGAATGTTTTAGATTCAGTCACCAAAAGCTCTTTAAAAACTGATGCCCAAAATTTTCCAGAAACACCACAATACTTCTTGTAAGAAAACAGTACACCCCATTGTACATCAAAGGTTCTTCTCCTGTAAACAGCAATTCATTCATCATGCAAATCCAGGTGAAGATTCAAAGCCTCCTTAATCTGTCAGGATATAGCACTATGCTTAATTTAGATATATTAAACAGGTCACAGAATGTTAAAGAATAGAGTTAGGAGAGTCCTCAAGAGGTTGTCCAAATCTAAAATGGAATTGGCTAGAGTTAAGCCATTCTCTCATTAAACTAGCTAAAACAGCTGGAAAAAAATACACAGACTTTAAGGCACATAAGCTCTTGAGATAAGATGATGCTTTAGATCCTAAGAAGGATGGTGTGCCTGAAAGCTTGTGATCATCTTCCAGCTGCATGAGTTGATCTAATAAAATATATTTACTTCATTCCACAAATCTTGTCTTGTTTAAGTCTTTAGACCAACACTACCACTAAGCCTTTGTTGGCAAGTTTACATTTTAAAATCTGTTACATTTGAAGATACCATGAATGTCTTGCAGTGTTTAACTATCTTCCCTATTGAAAAAAAAAAAAATCCTCTAGTGTCTATCTACTTTTCTTTTGCTGCTATTTGTATCACTTTTATTTCGTGCACACAGGCAGGAATGAAGATTTTTTCCCTGCAGCAATGCTTCACATACATAAAGACTGTTGTTACGTTGTTCCTCAGTTTTCTTTTCAGACTGTACAACTTCAGACTTCTTTTACTCCCAGTGATTTTTAGAACCTCTGCAAGCATCCTTGTTGCTGTTCTCTGGACACTCTTCAGACTGGATTGCATCTTTGTGATCAGAGTGCAGTGCCCAAAATGAGCAGAGTACTCATTCAAGACCTTACTAGAGCTTTATCAGGAGCTGAGATTAGAGCACTTCTTTGTGAGAGCTATGTTTAGACATTTTGGGGTAATTTAGGACAAAGAGAGAGGCAGAGGCTAGGTGGCCTTCAGTTTCTCTAACAGAAGGTAATTTTATCAAGTACGTTTTTAGGATACAGGCTTCCAAGTCATATCGAAAACCCCTGTTGTGCCACAATAGATGTTCTTATAACATGTTGCAGACATGGTTCCAGATTCTATAGCTTGTATAAATTTAATCTTTGCTATATATCTATCATGCTCTTGTAAATGCAAGTGAAAACCCCTCTGCAAAGCTCTTCACTGTTGTTGTACGGGTTTTGGAGAAAATCTCCACAGTATCCATTTCTTCTAATGTTTTCTTCCTAAATACAGAATTTCAGGTTCTTTTAGCTGTGCCTGAAAGGCAAGGCTTATAAATCAAAAGCTTGAAGGAAACAACATATAAATTGTATTTTCTTCCCATTTGGGTGATTTAAGTTACTTACTAAAGTAATTATTTCTATAGCATTGCATGATAATTACAACATAACTATGCAGAGCTTTATCATTGTCACTTGGTGCATGGGATTGCTACAGTTTTAATTTCCAGTCTGACAATGCAGAGGCAGCATGTAACAGGTAATACATTGCTGCCCCTCTGGAATGTTGTTCACAGTTGGAAATGCAATGCTGGAGAAAAAGATTGCAAACACCATTTCACTTACAATAATGCTAACACTCTGGGCTTTATACTTACGGCTTGTTCTTTGTCTTGAGTGCAGTTCATACTGAAAGTATTGTCCTGTCTTGTACTCAGCAAAAGTTAATATAAAGTGGCATCGTTTTTCTGTATACTTTTCGTTTCTTTTATCAATAGGCAAAAGTTAAATAAAATGTTTTCAAAGTTCAGAGTTTGGATACTTTGTACTCATGCTATGGTTTCAACCGTCCTACATTCTACCCGATACAGACAGGTGCATTGTTTTCAGCAAAGGATGTCAGTGCCTAAAGGTGCCAGGTTTAAGCAGATATGTATGCTCTTTGGCAAGGCCTATTCTCATTCCCATGTTGACCTGTTTGGGGAAAGCACCTGAACATAAACATTATTTCTGGTAAAAAAATTCCGTAAGTTAAGAAACGTGAGGTCAATCTCGTCGGCAGCCAACTGTATCAGATATCAATTCACAGCATTTTGCACGTTGTGTTTAAAGCTTTCTATCGGTATGAGCAAATGAAACCTCGTGATAGCCCAGAGAGCTAAGAAAATAATTACCATTTTCATCCTTGATGCAAAGAAAGCGAAGTGCCAAACAGAAGTTGCTAAAGGCCATACAGTAAATCGGACAGAGAATAAGAAACTCGGACTCTTAATTGCCAGCTCTGTATTAAGCCTTCCAGATCACGCTGGCTTAACATGAATGGAATTTAGATGAACTCCAGTACCTGCTGTTCCTCAGAGAAATATAAAAGACTATGCCCCTTGCTACTCAGGGAGTAGCAGGATGCAGGAAAGCCGATGCATGGAAAGTAGCTCTGAATTCCTTTGAATTCTACTCTATGGGGGCAAGAGGCACCTGAAAGGTGGAAAAAAATAATAATTTACAAGCATAGAAATGCAAGGTAATTTGTTACTGTAGATTTCTCTGCTTATGCTTGTGTTTCCCCTTTCGGCCTCATCCATTCTTTGCAGCATAGACCATTTTCCATTCTTTGTACGGCACATAGCACAAGAACATCTTAATTAGCATGTTTACATACTACCATAATAATGAAATATCCCAGAAACTTATTCCATGAATGTATACCAAAAATGACTTTGTGTAAAGAAGTGTCTGAAGAGAAAGTATTTTAAAAACAAGGCAGCTTTTTCGCCCACTGGTTGCCCTCTGCTAGTTGCAGGACTGTTTTCAACCTGCACAAGCATTGGTAATGTTTTCTTTCAGTGCAAGGCTAAACTGAGCTGTGAGGCTTTGCTACAAATTATTTGAATAGGACAGAATGGTATAAATGACAGAAAGTTAGTTCAATGTATTCCTTCCAGACTCAATGTCATTCTGAGTGTATGACAGTACAAGGTTATTCAGTAGTCTTGGACAACAGCTTCATTGGTATACCAGTGATCTAGCAGACCATAGAAAAAGATGCTCTAGCCTGTGTTCAACTATTATTTTATAGGTATGCAAAATAGTTTGACTATGCCGCTGAACATATTATAACTAGTTAAGCATCAGAAGAAAAGAAGTTTGTATACTCTCCACTCTCACTCCTTTAAAATGCATTTTCATCTCAGGTGGTTCTATAGATAAGCGGAGGCCCTGAGCTCCTGCACAAACCCTAAAGAAAGATGTTAGAGAAAAGAAGCTCCATGGAGTGGGAAATGCCATCTGCCTACCCAGAGTGAAATAGCAGAGAGCTGGGGCTTTCCGCTCAGCTTGCAGAAGGGAAGCAAGGATGAGCAAGGTAGTAAAGTTTCTCAGCTGGGAGTCTATTTTACCAAAAAGTGCTCCAAAATCATAAACCAGGAGATGAGGCCAGCACCAGCCTTCCTAAAAATCTTGGGAGACACCACAGAGTTAACAGGGTGTCTGTTTAGGTAGGGCACAATGTAGTGGCCCAAACTGAGCTCTTCAGACCTCTGCTGAAAATCTATGAAATAGTAAAAATAGCTCTGAATAAAACCTCGATTTAACATTATATGCCTATCTTTTATGCAACCTTTGATGTTCCCAGCTATAAATAGGAGTGAGGAAGAAAGTAGGAAAAATGGTATTAAGCCAGGCACTGAAGAAGACAGGATCAGAACTTTAAAAAAAAAAAAAAAGTGGGAGAGAAATGTGTAAGAAAGGAAACTGAGAAATGTGCTCCTACTGTGCATGATTTTCATAATTACCTGCCCAGTGTATTTTATTATTTTCTGTATTGTAGTTTTTCTTTTATAAAAAGTTTCAAAGCTACAGTTAGTAACTTTGCAGCAAATGAAAACATGCAGGCCAGCTTTCACAAAAAGCAGCTCTTTTTCTAATGGTTATTAATTAATCCAACTCTCATAACTCCTTCATCTCACTGCTGATGCTTTCATTTTTTTTCCTGTCAGAATCGAGAGAAGAATTTTAAGCAAAACAATTGCTGTTCCCATCTCTGCCACACAGTGTCAGTGAAGGCTTGGAAACTAGCTTGAGTTGCCAGG